TATACCACGAAACCGAAAGTCGAACGTGAAACTCTAACCGTGGTTCCTAAAGCATTAGATCAACTACGAGAAATCAAGGGTCATGTATGCGTGGTATCTATTGCTGGTCCTTGCAGAAAGGGGAAATCTTACATCCTTAGTAAAGCATTTGAAAAAGAGCTGGTATATCAAATAATTAAGCTTATCAAGTTGAACGAAATCACAACGAGTTGAATGAAATGTTACTAATAAAAATTATGCCAGTTTGCATAAAATACTTAATCTTAAGTGACACAAGTCCCATGTTAGCGCCAGGACCTTATACCAAGAGAATGAAATGTTAAATAAAAGTTATAGCAGAGCGCTCGGGCAACCTCGTTCCCAGGCCCTTGCCTCCAAGAGAAGGGATAAGGGTCTGGGAACGGTGATATACCGCTCAGATTTATCAGTAATCTGCGTTTGACTAGTCAAAATATTGAGTTGTGAAAACATAATTTTGAGCTAAAGACTCTATAACAACTATCGTCCAGATAGCTTTCCATTTTTTCTAAACCCTCCCTAGACTTGTACGTAATGTTTCTTACTTTTGTTTCCAGGTGTTCCCATTGGGTCATCTTCTCGATCAAGAGACCATGGGAATATGGCTATGGGTGGTGCCAGAGAAATTCAAAGACAGTACAGGAAGAGAGTTCACAGTAGTTCTGATGGATTCTGAAGGCATTGATGCAGTTTCCAGCAAACAATCTGATGATTACAGGATCTTTACTTTGTTAGTTCTGTTGTCATCTATCATGATTTATAACTCTACTGGTGTGCCACAAAGATCTGATCTTGAAGGAATGGAGTATCCTTGTTTACAATTTCATTCCTAGAGGCTTTTAAGAGAGAAATGTAGTAAATTTGAGCTAGTGCAACTATTCAATTTGCCTGGAAAAAATCAGACTTAGCAATAAAAATGAACATATTGTCTTTACGACACTATAGTGCACCGCTCCTAGAGTACAAGTACTTAAACTGTGCAACATAAATACCACTAAATACTGCTAAATTATGATAATTCTATCGTTTTCTATTGTTTAATTAACACTATTTTGTAGTAAATAGTGGAAAGTGTTGCACACATTTAATGTTTGCACTCTACGTCGAAAGTCTTTGATATAAAAGTTCACGATATGTATTTCGCGTGTCAGTTTTTAAATTACCTTTCGACAGGGCTCTGCGGCAACATCATTTAATGCAGGAAATTTATTTCTTGAGCCCATTAATCAGAACTGGATCGACCTCAGTGTTGTGTCCAGGAAGATAGCGTACTGGAAGAGGAAAACGACTTGCATAAAAGAACACTTTTGTTTATAAATTTCTCACAATTCAATGGTTTTCCTCCATAAGTTGGATATCATTTCTTTGAAGTTAGAGTCAATGTTATTGCACTTTAACTTGTAATTCAGCTTCATTGTCAAATTGCCCCAACGCATACAGCTGCACACCAAACAGCAGCCCACCGATGATCAGCATTTCTATGAAGCCTTTCCTTACTTTGTCTGGCTGTTGAGAGATGTGGTGCTTAATCTTCCTACAGTATATAAGACGATCAAAGATTACTTCATAAAAAATGTAAGGAACGGCTCAGACGTCGATCTTCAGCCGCGACGAATCAAATTGCTGGAGTTTAGTTCATGAACATTTCTTACTCTAAATTTGATTTTGCTAAGATAAGCTGACCCAGTACAAACAATGTCAAATGATTTATACTGCAGAAGTCTCGTGAACTACCTGCAAGCAATAAGATTAGACGCGGCAAAATATCGACGTCTGAATCGGGACTCAGCAATCAAACCTATTGGCATTATATTACATAATTGTACCACAAACAACTGCCAGATCACATTATAACAACTTCTAGCAATCGAGGTCAAAGGAATTGAGAGTGCATGACTGCTTTTCCGAAACTACACCTTTCTTAACAAGACCCAAAAACATGACAATATGAACGATTATTGTCGTTGGTGATGATTAGTTTCATTTAATTTGTTGTTTTTTTCTAAGCTTTTCAACTGCAAAGCTGAAGGGAACACCGAGAAAGCCAGGAAGATCGCTGAGAGCATTTTAAAGTATTTCTCTGGATTTGATGCATTTTCACTTCCTCCTCCAGCTTATGATGAAGAGGTAAGCTGGTAACAACAGTCATTTTTCATGGTTCTATTGATTGATTGAACGAATCAGTGAGTGAGTCGATGGATGAGTGAGTGAGTGAAGGGATTAGCAAGTCACTGATTGCATCCATTAATCCAGGTTGTAACAAATCTCAACGACGAGAAATTCAAGTCTCAAATACACCCAGAATTTCTGAAGCAAACCGAAGACTTCAAAGCTGTCCTTCACTCGAAGCTGTCACCCAAGAAGTCTATCAACAAAGGAGAGTTTGTCACTGGCGAAGGTAAAGCGTAATTTACGGGCGGACAACACGAAAAACAAATATGATCATATACAATCAAGTAAGCAGATGAACAAGACGATGAGTTTGAGGGTGTACATGGAAGTCAACTGTTTTGAGTTCTGATATTTCTGCTTATATTGTTATCTTTCAGCGTTAGCAGCTCTGATCGAACTGTTCGTAGAGGCACTCAACACCCCTGGTGCTGTACCCAACGTACAAAACGCCTGGGACACATTTGTACAAACCAAATGCAACGACGTCTTAGCTGATGCTCTGAAAGCATACGAACAGGAAATGACGTCATTCGTCGAGAAGAAAATTCCTTGTGAAGCCGATTTGTTACAAAGTGCGCATAAAAATGCCATGGAAAAGTGTCTTGAAATGTTCCGAAATGGGACCCTCTCTTTTTCTATCAAAAGTGTCGACAAGTACTTGAAGGAGCTGACGGTGGGTAACGAAGTACTTGCTAATAATCTGTGAAATGAGTAAGCCAATTCATTATCAGTCTACTGAAAACCGTACGATTACATTAGGATAAAACAGACTCCATCATGACATCATGGCTCGACAAGAACAGAAGAGAAACCGAAACTTTTTGCACTCAGCTTATCAAAGAACTCAAGCAAGACATCCTTGACCCAGTCCTTGCTCGCCTTCGTAGTCAAGAAGGATCCAAGATGCAGTTCGGTGACATTGTCGCTGCTTACAATGAAATCCAGCAAAAGTATTCCAGCAACGCTCGTGGTGCTAAGAACGTCAAGGCATCGGTGTTTATGAACTTCCATCCGGTATTGGATAATTGTTTGTTTTAAAATCATTATTATACCGACCTATTACAATAGGCATGCCATATATATATATAAAGTTTATAAAAGAATCAGTAGCAAAGTCAGTTGTTTGTTCAGGAAAAATGAGGACGACTCTGCAGTGGTGCAAATTAGAAAAATAGACCTTATCTGCGTTTTTTTACGTTTTTCAGGAACTTCAAAAAGACATGCAGCAAAACATTCATCTCTTGCAACTGATGAAAGACTTTGATAAGACCCTGGCTGAGGAAAAAGCCGCCAAAGCTGCATTAGAGGAAAAGAAACAGAAAATTAAGGTCAGCTAAAAACATAATCGAAACTTCCTCGACCATGTCATAGTTTTCAGAGCAGCTGATTTCATAATCAAAGACGGAGTCATGAATTTCTTGATAGGACTTTTAAAGAGAGAAAACAGGGAAGATGCACCCGACACCGCGAACTGCTTTCCAAATCACCCCTTAAATCACTTCTGAACCCATTCATCTATAAACATGACACCACGGTATTTCTATTTAATTTTAGGAGGAAAAAGCTCGTTGTGAAAAAGAGAACAGGGACAAAGAAAGAGAGGTATGAAATCAGTTTTCGCGTCGATATTGGAATTAGATCAGGCAAAAGCTCTTCCTCAAAGTTAACATCACTTACTGTATGTCAATAATACAATAATATCTAATACTTTTTTCAAGATGGAGGTCCTTCGTCAAAAGCAACAAGAAGAGAAAGCCGGACTGCAAGAGCTTTTTGAGAAGAACTTGAAAGACCAGCGCGAACAGCTAACAAACATGATGGAGGCAAACTTTGAAGAGCAAAGAAAAGACAGAGAA